GGAAAACATGACGCTCTTAAATTCATAGAAAATTACAGTGTTCTGTGATGAAAGTATCACATATTCCAAATTCCCACAAATGAAAGTAGTAAGGACTTCACTTCCCACATTTTTTTTACCACAGTTTTTGTGAAAACAAGCTGTAAATAATGGTGACCATAGTCTGACTGATGACATAGTCTGATTGTCTGGGAGAGGAGTCCTGAAAAAGGATTGTTGATGGTAGCAGTGGTGGATGTTCCCACAACCTGAGCAGAAGTCATAACCAGAGTCAAGTAACTTAATGCAGATGATGACTTCCCCTCATGTCCTCAAAACATCAGTCACTAAAACCAACAACATTACTTTTATTTCCAGGTTACTTTCACCAGATGAGCGGATGACAGGATCGAATGTTCCTCCTGGTTTTGAACCATTTGCTGAGTAACTCTGATTATGAAAGCAAACCCCTGTGCTAGCGTATTTGTGCCGTGATAAGTATAGAAGAAATCCAAGGACTGGAACCAACTTTTAGAACCTTTTTTAACCCTATAAATCCTAGTATCAGTATACATATTCTCCGTACTGTTCTCTATACATTTCCTAATGTGCTGAAAAGGAGACTTGTTTAACAATCATGAGGTTCTTTTGGTTGGTAATCATTCCCTTTACTCTTGTGACCTTAATGTGCAAATCAAGGGTGATATCCTAAATGCTAGTCACTCTTAGGGGTTTATGGGCTATTAAATATATACATATATAAATATTTTAAGAGGAAAAAAGGATGCAACTACATTTTCCTGACAAGCCTGTTTCATGAATCGCTTCACTGAAGAGTCAAGCGATTCACGAAACAGGCTTGTTGGGAAAATGTAGTTGCATCCTTTTTTCCTCTTAAAATATTTATTCCGCTCTGCTTCAACATATTGAGCACTGTTCCACGCGAAAATTGACTTGCAGACTCCCTATATATATATATAATTATATATATATATAGAGTCAGCTATAATGCTATGATAGCAATGAGAAAATTTTCTTGCCCTTGAAATTATGGCATGGCAAAATTACAGAAACAGTTCTAGTATTATCAATTTGCTGGTTGGTTTAATTTCAAAAGAATTACCACTTAGCAAATTTTCAAAGCATGGTCAGATCATCTGAGAACTACTGGGCAATCAAGATGAGAAAATGCATGTGATAACAGTAAGTCCCAAACTAAAAAGCTGTTACGATCCTTTAAATCTAAGACATATACCAGCAAGAAGAAATCCTAATTATCTTCACTTCAAAGTCTACATTTTTTTCCTAATATTTTTCCAACCTGGACTAGCCATCAATCATTCATCAGATTGTTTTTAATCGCTGAATATACAGTGGAATCCTGTGACTAGAGGGGGGCATTGGGGCCTATTAGAAACTACAAAACCATAGGAAAAATCATCCAAAACCGCAAAACTGAAAAAAATTCGATCAAAACCGAAAACTGCATAAAAACTGTCAAAAGCAATACATTTTCACATCCTGGTTATTAAAACCCTGATCGACCTGATACAATGGTGACAAGTGGAGCATACTAATGAATTATTGAGGATTTATGAATGCCATGGACTTGGCATTCATATGTTCTAGTATCTGCTTAAATTAGGAGCTGCTCTCTCGAGGACCTTGAACGTGGTCTCTGCAGACTCAGCAGCTGGTAATGGAGCCTAGCTAAATTAAGGAAGTTCGCACAAAAGTCCTCTAAAGGATTGCAATTTTGCAGTCACAAAAAGCCATAGCTCTGATAAAGTTTCATCGAAAATCCCTAATCTAACATTTCCAATTGCGAACTAAGACCTGAAAATTTGGAGATTCTATTGGAATGTTGAATTAATCAGTCACATGTGGCCTGTAACTTGGTCACCAACTTTGAGGTGGCATTGATAAAGAAACCCTAGCAATGTTTCGTGCTTAGCCATATCCTTCCCTCCCCCCCACCTTGAGGGGGCAGGGTACGGCTACATGTAGGCTACCTAGGGATCCCTGTGATATTTCAATTGGTTTGTCATTCTTCTCTATAACATTTATGTTTAGCTGCTATTCGAGATCAGTGGAGGTTTGTAATTGCTGCTCAGATTGAAGAGAAACCGGAACCCAAAAAGGTCAAATGGGAAAAACCAAAAACCACATTGGATATCAAATCCGAAAACCAGTTAATATTTTTTGTGAAAACTGAAAACCAAATGCTAAAAAATAGAAAATCCACAAACTGCAATGAAAACCAAAATTGAGAAACCGTAGTTTTTTGGCACAAAACCAAAAAACGGATCTAAAAAAATAGCCAAAACCGCGAAACCAAAAATCCCAAAGCTTCCCTTTTATTACCATCACCAGTGGGTCAAAAAAAAAAAAAAATGTCTTAATCACTTCTCAAGTTGCCTAAGCAGATTTTAGCTCCAAGATTTATTCCTTTATCATGTTGATAATGAAAACAGGAAGAGTATTGCTTCTTTCTAAATAAAGTGGCTTTAATTGCTTAGTAAATGACAGAGATCAATGAAATTGACGTGTAACAGGCGTTTTGGTTATATAAATTAAATGCTAGTGGCCATATTAAGTAGGTGAAATTATGAATGGATTCTACTGTAAGGGGTTTTAAAATGTGGCCATTGGCTGTATTGACAGATGACCGCATTAACAAGGGTTTTTTGCAAGAAAACATACGGCAGCTTTCCTAGGCCGGAAAAAGTGGCCATAATAACAATGTGATCGAATTATTGAGGTGGCCGTTAGGCAGGGTTCTACTGGACATATCAGCTACGGTGTTATGAACTGCAAATCGACATCTCACATACAGCCTTCCAAGAACTGATAGAACAGTGACAAATTTATACATGTACATATTTGTATCAAAAGTGAAATTCATACCCACAGTCTAAGAGGATCAGGAAATTCTCGTTTAACAACTGCGTTGATGCTTAAGTATTTGACACATTCCCAAACTCTACAGTAATCATAAGCGTAGCCATCTTTCAAAACACTAGATGCTCGAAACGTACGTAGCAAGCACGAAATATTAATTATCTAATCATTAAAAGGCATTCATTTCATTTACATTGCATCACGTTCTGAAACTTTTCAAGTACGCTTCTCCAAATAGCACGAGGAAATCATATGATCGAGGAGAATTTTTTAAACAATTACGTACGCAAGGTCATGTTCAAAGGGTTCATTTTGACACCATAATAATTGACTCGTCAACTCGTTTTAAAGCGAAAACCGCTACCTCGGTGGTCGAGATTAGCAGAACGTAATTAAGTAAAGCACAGAAAGGAAAAAAACATATAAAATAAAATCCTGATGGAGTCTGATCACTGCAATCCCATCCCAAGATCGCATAACTATCCTGAGAACAATTTGAGAATGTTTACTTACCCTCAGAAATTCCTACTGAGTGTTAAATCGTCCTTTATGCGAAGGCATCTATCACCCTGACACTCTCTGGCAAGAAAGTGCAAAAAATGAATTAAAATAACTGAAGAAAAAAAACGGAATGCAATCAGAAGTACCATGGGCGCTTTCTACGTAACATTTACCAATTAAAGTAACTGAGAACGTTACACAACTACTTGAAATATCCACCGGAAGATGAAGTTCTAACGTAACAACATAAGCTTCTCGTCTTTTGCCGGTCAAATTTTGCAAAATTTCGCTTGACTTTTGAAACAAAAGGTCTATAGCCGAGATTAGTATAAATTACATTGCTTTAAGCCTTAGAGTGAGTATGCAGAACTTGCTAAATACTCGCTTAACTTGATCCAAGATAAAATAGCCTAAAATCATTACGTTTTAGATAAATACCCTTCACAAAGAGAGAGCATATCGGAAACTGAACCCACATGTAAGAGCTCTGGATCAAACAGTTGCACGGATTTTAGATAAAAAAGCAAAGTTAAAGAAATCAGAAGACGTTCGCAACCCTTTCAGCCCAAGGAGCGAAAGAAAAATAACGAACCTCACTGCCTTTGCTTCCGTCTGTGACGCTGTCACGAGTTTTTCAATCCTCTTAAACATGAGCCCGCATTTTAAGTAAACATTAAGCGGTAGCGATAACACTTCACGCAATTTCAATAACAACGTGCAATTCCTCCGCACGGATCTCAAAGTTTCCGTCTTGAGATGTTAGTTACAGATCAAGCATTACTTAACAGTACAAAAAATAATTTAAAAAAGCTGTGCCCTCTTCCCAGCCACGAGGTAGCGGGTCACCAATTGGAGATATATATATAACACTTTTAAGTGTCATGTTAAAACATGGCTAACAGTTTTCGACGCATTGCAAGGTGAGACTGGAACTCCAATTAACACCACGATTTGAAGAAAAATAAAACAAAAAATTTTCTTCTATGTCTTCTTAAAGGAAAAACGGAACTGGAATGAACCACTTCAAATTAATATTTTGTGAAGGAAGGGGGTATTTGAGATTGGACTGTTGGGATCTGTTACGTGTTCCCTATTTCATCATTTCCTTTTTTCTTTTTATGCTCCTTGTTTTATAGCGTCCATTTGAATAAAAGGCTGTAGTAAGACTGTCAATGCAAGGAAAAAGATAAAGGAAATATGGTACTTCTCATTTAATCTTTAGGAGTGCGGTGGACCCGAACTCGGTGGGGGGAGGGGGGGGGGCGGAGGGGGAGATTAAGTGCTGTCGGTTGGTGTCTTGGTTTTTGTTAGCCCTGCTAAAAAGAGGTCACCATATTCCCACCAATAGCGAGGCTCTCTTTTCTGCATTTAAGCACGCACACACACACATACACGAAAGCCACCATCCCTCCCTTCACTCCGACGAAGGGCTAACAATCGAAACGTTAGTTTTGAAACTCTCTACGGTGGCTGATTATCAACTCAGGTGTTAAAACCAAATTATCGTGATGTACGTACTTCCCCAACAACGCAACCAAGTTTCTCTAGAAACGAACCAAATTTGTCACGTGATCAGACTGTAACCCGACCCAGTGCATTGACGCAATCATAACATATTTTCACTTCGCTGAGCTGCCATATTGTTTAGCCCTGTTTTGGACTTTTCTTGAAGGAGAGAAACCTGGGAGATCGTGGCTGTTTTGGAATGCTACCGAGACCTTTATATTTCCCAAATCACAGTAGTCATTTAAGACGTCGATCCAGAAATCGTCGGAGTTCACGTCGCCCAAAACCAGAATACGAACGCAACATCTTTTCCGCATTTTTTGCCCTTGCATCCGCTGTGCTTCTTGCAATCGCAGAGGCAGAACCAAAATGGCTTCACATCGTCAGTGGAAAGTGCGAAGGAAGGTACATTGGCTTGTACAAAGTCATTGCATATAAACACCCCGAGGAACTGAGTAAGTCTGATGGGAAGCCTTAGAAGAATTTGACATGTTATGTGGAAACCCTTTCCAAATTATGTCATTTGAGCGAAGTTGATCATAATTGCTACTTCCTCATTTGCTTTTTCTTAAACTCCTTGATCTGTTGTATTATTTGCAAAAACCTATTTTATATCCGATCAGTTGTCATAACAGTCTCCAATTAATTTTCTTCAACCTTTGTAATAGATAGTGCAAGTTTAGCTGCTAAATTGATTAACAATAATGCGATGACCAATTCGATCGCTACGGAGACGACTGAAAACTTTTTCTCCACTGACCCATTTTTTTCTTTCAAACGGATTAAATGTTATTAAGGAAATGGATACCTTAATTGTTGCTCTACTAAATTCAAAATTCTGAATATTTCTTAGGTCACATCGTTACTGAAAGAAGCTGTTTTCAGTTGTTCATGGATAGAATCAAAAATATTTTGACTTCATATTTTCAGATATTTAGTTAATGGGTAATTTTTGGTCGATCAGAAGGACATTACTTGAAATAATTCGGTATGTTTTTAAGTCTTTGATTAAGAAAAATGTTGGTTGATCCTTAATAAAACGTGTCAAGACTCAAACCTGCCAACTGCCGTCTACATTGCTTATGCCAATTGCCAAGTAAAATGCAAACAAGACATTTAGAGTCAAGGTGTGGATATATTTGAGCAAGGCATACTCCATGTTAGCTCTCAAATAAACTTGTGTCTTCTGCACACTGCAAATCTAAAATCAAGCATGTACTGGTACAGCAAGTTGCTACCCAACAGCCAGTTGAGGTAAATCTGCTACCTCTGTGCTGATGTATACTTGTGTCTTGTGCCCCATGTTGTTTATTCTTGCAAGCGATGGGTTCCAACAGTTATCACCACAGAAATAGCATTCTAGTCCCACTTATGAAAAGGCTTACTTAAATAATTTATATTTGAGTTGTAAAAGGTGAGAATACATAATCAAAGCATGTGATTGCAAGTATACACATATACAAAGCATGAATTAAAGAAATTTTGGGATCTAAAAAATTTTTCAACTTGAAGGGAAAAAACCTTTTTTTGGGGTATTGAAGTTCTTAATGGTTTCAAGCTGCCTTGTTTGCTGTTCATTTTACATTCTCATCCTTTAAGAAAAGAGTGCTTATTTTTTACTCCTATGCACTTGTTTTTTATTCTTACCACTGGTTTGATAAGATTTTTGTTTCTTGTTTGCATAAAGTATCAATTTCTTTTAATTTTTAGGAAAGGGGGAAATTTCTGATTGTACTATGGTCATGTAGAATTTTAACATCTGTTATCACCCTTGTAATGTTTGTTTATATAAATGGGGAGGACATGGAAATGTTTGGTTTCTCAATAGTTATGGACAGGGGATATGGCATGTTTGGAGTGGGTGCAGTTTTCTGTAGTATTTAGAATCTTTTATTGTTGTTTACAGCTTCATACTGTTACACAAGCACCATTGTACTTCTCTTACGACTGGTTGTTGCACTAAGTTGTGTGGGAATTGTGTTTAGCATGTTTGCCTGTTTGCTGGATTTGTGTGGCACATTAAACAGATGTCTCAAAGTAGTCAAGGATTATTCTATTGGAAATGTAGTTACAGGTAAGAATCAATGTCTTGTGTTGATAAGTAAGAAAGTGTTGTCATTGAGTAGAAATATATGACAGGTGTAATTTGTCTGATGATAGACTTCTAATCAATCTAATTCTAAGTAAGATAATTTTGGTTTTATCAACTGAGTTGATAGAGAAATGTAAATAGGCCACCAATTAGAGTTTCAAAGCTGATGTTTCAAGCATTAGCCCTTTGTCAGAGCAAATGGGGAACACAGCACCACAGTTCTTTAGAAAATTACCCCCTTTATTCATGATTCTGAACTAGTATTCACAACATAGTTTTGTCCTCATTGTCAAGTTATATAGGTAAATACTTAATATCTTGAAGACACTGAAACACTGTTTATTGTTCCTATTGTTTTTCATGTGTTATTTTTTATTTGGATAATATAAGGATTGATGACGTTGGTAATCACAGCTACAATTGTAAATTACATTAAAGATGAAGAAAAAATTGATGGTGGATATTTAGCTGCTGAAGCCTAAGGCTGAGGTAGATAAATCAGACACAAGGTTTGATAATGCATGATGTGGTGCAAAAACCAATTCAGTAATTGTTTTATTCATACATTTTTAAAACACATTGCAAAAGAAGACACTTCTGTTTGAGTCTGCAAAAGTTTGAGAACACTGCACAGATGAGAGGCTGGGAAACTTGGCAGACTTTGAACTCAACATAATAAATGCAATATCCACTGCAGATATTGCAGTCATCATGTTAACTTCACATGCTATATGCTCTCAACCAATCAGATATTTCATAGTAAGTCTATTGTATAATAAAATATAATTACTACTACTTAATTACTGCTGTTCAATTTTTCTGCAGTTGTGATGTGTGTTGCTACAATCATTATTGTTTACATGGTGACAAGGATACTTGAAGAAGTTGGTGAAGAGGACAGTAGTGATCCCGCCAAAGTTAAATTTGAGATCAGTTTTTGTCTTGTGGTGGCTGCAGGAGGATCATCGGTACTGGCAACTGCATTGAGTTTAGTTATGCACTGTTATCTACACCGCATGAGAGAAAGAACTCAATCTGATGAAGAGCTATCCCTTGAACTGATGTACTCCATGGTACCTGCCGACAGTATCTCAGATGTTCCACCTCCCGCATACTCACCCTGATCACCACAATTAGTGAACTAACTCTTACAATGTAGGTATAATAATATTAGTAGTTATATGCAGACAAGGAAGTGAAATCAGAAATTCTAACAGGACATTGATGTTAGTTTTCAATTTTCAGAAAATTTTAATGACTTCAATTTTTTCCCAGAAGGCATTGCATTTCAACAGCAGGCTATGTTTCCTTGGTCATTTAGTGTTTTCAACTGTACCTCATGTACCAATCAATTTGAAGCTTTAAAATCCCCTAGGGGCCAATTCGATACTGGAACTGTCAAGTCTCTCCACCAGATCACATGTGTTTTATCTTTTAATATGGAAGTGCTTAAAGGCAGAGAGTTCACTTTCACAAGCAGATGGCTCAGAAGAAAAGGTCCACAAGAAAAACACTATACCTGATCATGCCTTTCTCCCAAGAAATTGGTCATCAAATCCAACCTTGGGTGGGGCATTTGAACACCCTATTTTAGTCTGAAAGGGTGGGGTGGTAATTTGAACTAACCAATCTTCAAAAGTTAAAATGCTTGGGGGCTTTCCTGAGGGGGGGAAGGGTTGGTGGGCTTCAATTGATTGATGTGTTAGTCCAAATGCTCGAGGGCTTTCTTGGGGGGAGGGGGAGAGGGCTTCAATTGATTGATGTATTAGCAGGTGGTACATGTTTGCAAATCTTGAATGGATATAAGTGTTGATTTTTATGGTGAAAATTACCAGTTTTAGACTTTGTAACTGTTGGTAAGTGCATGTATGAGTAAGAATTTTGAGATGTTTGGAAAGTACATCATTTGATTTTTGTCTGTGTCCTAAAGTGGATGAAGGTCAGCTCTGACACATTTTTTGATTCCACTTCCTTAGTTTAAAGCATTTTGATGAAAGCTGAAATTTGAATTTGCCTTTATAAGGCATAACTTAAGAAACTTGATTCTATGTCATAGAAAATATAGCTGCTCACATAACACAAAGGCAGTTTTATAATCAATGGTGTTAAATACAACCTTCCCAGTGTGCACTAAAATTTTAGTCCTGCAGAAGTTTGGTAACTGTTGCTGATTCTAGTTTCTTTCAAAAATTTATGCAATGGTATAATTACTGTATTTGACATTAATTTTTACATTATGAAAGTTTCAAAGTTGTCATAAGATTGTAGAAAATAGGAAGCTGAACACTAATCAAAATTCCTTTTGTCATACTGATTATGTTAGGCACTATATTTTTAATGGCATGGTATTAAATACAGTCATACGACATTTTCTAGTGTTGTATCCTCAGAATGTCTTACTTTTCACTTGTTTTGTATTGACGTACATACTTGTCTAATATGTGTCTGCCAAAAGTACAGGTTACACATATTCCATTGAATACCATGAGAAAGCTATGCATATCTTATTTGAAGGTTAGCCACATATATATCATTACATTTTGTAAAGTGATGACACTTTCAACCAAAAAAGCAAAAATATTCTCTGCCTTGCCCGCAAAATATAGAGAAGATCATTCCTTTTTTTTTTTTTTGCAATGAGGGTTATAAAAGTGATGAAACTGGTGAGTTGGAAAATCTATCAGGAAAAGTTTGATGCCATACAGAAAAAAGAAAAAACGCTAGCAGAAAACTCATTAAGTGATTAGCAGCTTTATGTGAAATAGCTGCTGAGCAATTTTATATATTTTTTGGTAAAGCAAAAGAGTTGAAACTCACTAAAATTTACTTGTAGCAGCTCCATTTTCTTGTGATTCCTTGTAGAAGCAAGGATTTTAATGGACAAGATACACTGAAAAGGAAAAAATGTGACAATTATTTGTAGAAAATTTGAATCCATTTGTAATTCAAGAAAGACTTGGTGTACAGATGTAGACATATAAAGTGAATTTTATGGGGGGGCAGTTTTGTCTATCTTATTCAGTAGTTTGCAAATGAATTGGATCCAGATTGTATTCAATTTGTAAAATAACATTTAGATGGTTAAGTAAATTATTACTTGTCATGAATTTAAGAAGTACGGCCAATCAACTAGCTTTGGAATAGCAGAGGCCAACTTAGCATTAGTCGTAACAATAATACTTAAAAATTTAGCAAGGAATGTAGATGAGGTGAAAAACCCCTTCACCTCTTCTACACCTTTCTATTGAGCTTTCAGTTTAAGTTTGTTACATATAGCTGATTTAGAAGTTATATGGTGTCTAAAACAAACTGCTTAGTGACTTTCTGGATCATATAAGCCTGTACCTTGAATGCAGCTTTGCTCTAGTGGACTGCAGGCTTGAGGGCACCAATTTTGAAGGTGCATTAGGTGTCTTGGCCAGTATTGGTTTTATTGCATAATAATGTAAGCGTTCATGTCATGATATGTAACCCACATTCTGTCCTTCAATGATCCTTGAAGTTATCCAAGCCTTTTGGCTTTCCCTGTGGAAGTGTTGTCCCTTTTTTTTGCATTACATTTCAGTCTCATTCAGGCCTTTTGGGTTTTAGGTAATTGTTCAGCTACAGCACATAGTATCTTCACAAAGCTTTGCTGGTTAAAACCTTCTTTCACATGTTCCACTTCTGCTTGACCAGTGTATTACGGTAGATGATTTGAACAAAAATCCACTGAGGAAACATAGTATTTTATCTTATTTCTGGTCATTTGTTCTCAACTCCCAACAACTTGAACTCTTATCAGCTCAAAACTTTCTGCTAGTAATTAGGAATTCAAGTCATTTTGTTCATGTAGAGTATTATTTCTGACATTTTTTATGGTCAACTGAAACCATTTAGCCTCTGCCAGTAAAGTTGCTGCTAGCTTGTGCAATTTTTTAAGTTCATGACAAATTCTTGGTTTCCAAGAAAACAACTTTTGTTTGCATGCTACAAAATTATTTTTGTATGAAAAGAAGACTCCTTTCTTAGCATTTTCTGAAGTTTGCAGATCAAGTATTTGAAAAATCTGTATTTTGTTGAAAGGTACATGAATGTAAAAATGGAGATGCAGTCCATGATGAAAAAAAATTCATTCTGAAAACAAGACACCTTGATAAAAATATCTCCTTTAATAAATTGCAATTTTATAGTTGTAGCATCCAGTAATAATGACATACATGTTTCTGTACATAGCTTAATAAAAATAAACAATGCCTTTTTTATCAAAATTAAGTATCATAATTTGCCTGTTGAATATTACTTTAATTAGACCTTGAATTTTGAGTAAGTTTGTTCCAACTCATCAGAGGATTGAGATAGATAGGGGCTTAAGGGTTAATTTCCAGACAGTCATGCTGTCATAAATCTGTGTGTGTGATATTCACAACAGATGTGATCAGAGAGGGTCAGGAAGTTGAGTCATTCATTCAGTGGTTGTAGAGTACAGTTAGGTACTTTATAAAAGTCTGTACTCAAGCCTATTGACCCACCCAGCTGGAGCTTATCCTGGTTTCCTTAATGTGAAGTGACTAGTAGTATATTACAACTCCCCCGGTGGTGGGATGCTAGTCCATTACAAAGTAACCCCCAATATTTCATCACACTTGATACTAAGAACTCAAACTGGCAAGATGTCCTACAAACAACGACTGCTGACTCTCCGCTTACTACCATCAACTCAGAGATCTTGTCTTTTCTCTATAATTGTATTTCCGGATGTACAGATGCAAATATTGATCGATATGTTACTTTTGGCACACATGGCCAATCTCACTCTAACAACCCTACCCTCGTACTAAAACCTGCTTACTGTGAAGCCGTGACTTTTCAGGCCTCGCTTTTTTAATAGAATTGTAAAACCCTGGAACATCATCTCCAACCTCGCCCCTCATGACCATTTTTCTAGTCTAAAAAGTATGTTTAAAAATCTTCTTTAATCTCTTATCAGGATTTTTTTTAACTTAGATTTTAGGTTGTGCCTCGCCTGGGATACTTTTTCCGTTTGCGCAATCCTTTCTGGTCTTTTCATTTCTACCACTGATTTACTATATACTTTTATATCACTAATGAGACCAATAAAGTAGACGAACTTTCCTGAAAATTCGGCAGTATCCATTTATACTCCTGGGCGGAAAGTATTTTTCCCAAGAACACAACACACTGACCGAGCCAGGTCTCGAATCCGGACCTCTAGACCAGGAGTCACTTCCTTCTACAGTTCACAACTTCCGTCCAAATCTGATCAACCACAGTACTTCTTTCGAAAGAGAGGTTATGGTCAAGAGGAGAGGAGATCTGGAAATGAATTTCCTCTTGAGGCGCGCATGCCGCATGGCGCGCATTGCGTCAGTTTACACGCGTTTGCAACATCTAAGAACACGACGCGGTCCCTCAATATGGCCCGTCTAAGAGATTATGATTGCATCGGCTTTGATCTTGATCACACGTTCATTCAGTACAGACTTGATAATCTTTATCCGGTAAGTCACCAAGTTACTAGTCGAATCAGGTACTCGTTCTGCATATTCCTTTGCTATTAATAAGGCTTATGGTTAGTTGACAACTAAGACAGTCTTCTTGTTGTAGATGATATACAGTTGTTTTGCGCAAGTCTTAGTGAAAGAAAGAGGATACGATTGTAGCTTGCTGGAGGATGACTTTGAAGATTTCAAGGATTTCTGGTACGAGTTGGATTCGCAGTTCGAAGCACCATAATTAAGTCAAGCTAATATCGCCTTCCTTTTGTGACTTACACCCGGGAATCAAATAATATAGACTGTGTATGTGAATAACGACGAAGCAGTGAGAGAAAATAAACTGCCGTCAGATCTGCGTTCCCGTGTTCCTAACTTCCTTTTCTCCTCAAGAATTGATTGTAACCAGAAGGGTACTCGGTCCAATGTTTGCTGAGTAGGTGCAGCTGGCCTCTCAGAACCCCCGTGCTTCCCATTTTTAAGTCCCTACCAAACAGAATTTTCTTAACCCAAAAATTCCAAAAGTGTGTAAACTTTATCAGAAATGTAACCCCTTTAAGATTAATCCAGGCGTGAAAATGCAAACCTCATCTAGCGGCACATCTCCATCAGCCATTACTAGGAAGTCCCCCCCCCCCAACCCCTGGAACCTAGCCTTCATCCACATCTATTGATGCATTGACAGATAGTTGATTGACAACAGGTGTACCATTCTTTGAGTGTGTTGACAAGAAAGATGAACAAATTGCTACACAGGTCACAAATGTTGCCACCTCACTTAGACTGGTGCAAAAGTCATGCACCAAAGGAACCAAAAGCTCATGGGCTCTTCTAAATTGACCTATCAGTGTCTGAAATTGCCATAGATTTCTTTACATTCCATTGTATGTCTTACTTGTGGTCATCCACGGGGTCTTTTTGTTTTTGTTTTTGTTTTGATCACTTCTCTCCATCCATACTATAACAGGTTTTTAGGAATTTCAAGTGTCATGGAAATTTATTAAAAACATATACAAGAAAAAAAGAAGAAAATACCTTACAAAACAAAGTAGGAATGGAGAAGGACAGGGTATAGTCAAGAAAGAGTTTTCAGAAGATTGTGTAGTAAATTTGCATTGTAGTCTGCGAACAAAGTATAATTATAGTGAAATGTTATTTAAATTCTGATACAGTTGGCAGTATTTCACTAATTTTTCAGCCTGAAAGGCTTGGTCCTGGATACCAAAAAGGGAAATATTTTAAAACTTGGAGTAGATGGCTTTATTTTAAGGTGAGTAATATGCCTGAAGTTATTGCAAGGTTCTTAATGAGCTATCACCCATGAGAGGGACTAGTGTCTAATTTCATCCCAGCTGAATCACTCATAAAAGTAACAAGAAAAAAGGAAATGAGCAACAACTAAAGAATCTCTTGATTGTTAATCAAATTCTCCTTGTCAGCACCTTAGGAAATGTATAGAGAACAATAAGGATAATATGCATACTGATGAAGTGTGCAAACGCTTAAAGGTATTGTCAGCTATTGAAGATATACCTAGTATCTTTAATTGGTCATGCTCAAGAATCTAGTGAGAGTTGTTCGTGGTTACTTGGCAAAGAACTGTCACGCATCTTTTGTGCTCTCCAAAGTTCCTAACAATGTGCTTGATATTTTTTTGAATGCATGCTGATGCCTGAACTAACCATAAATTTGTTCCACTTTATCAGGGTAAGGTTTTTGAGGTTTCAGAAATGGAAACATCTTACATACCATCTATCTGTTGTGGATAACTATTATATGTCTTACAGGAAATTTGTTAAAAAAATTAATATAATCTGGTGGAAAAAGATGCTTTTTGAAACAAGTAGTTGCAGGGTTTTTTATAGTACATGGCATGTCACCTAACTATGTGAGACAAAATTAATGTATGAAATGCAAAGTGACGTGATGCCCACCTGCTTGCGGCATCTGTATCATTTACCATAAAGAGCAAGTTTAAGAGGACATTATGATGATGTAATTCTGAAAAGATGTAATCAATGTCTCTTCACCTCAGGGCTTCACATGGTACACAGCAGTTGACAAGGAAAGAGATTACAGATTGCTATGGGGAACAATGCATATGGCCAAAGTTTAACATCCTGAAAGAAAATCCCATTCAGCATTGTATGTTAAATGTTTAAAAGCAGTACAGTTCTGTAGTTTTTAATCAGTAGAAATCCTAGCAATCAATGTATTTTAACAAAATGTTTACCTTATATAAATTTATTAATTAACAGTATTTTACAAATTTCTTTTCAGCCAACATTTTCAGAGTGTTTGAAAATTACTTTGACCTTCCAGTGTTGGTTATATGTGCTCGTATTGTTGACATAACTGACAAAAAGGTAGATATGATTTTTGAGTATTTACATGGAAGAAATCTCTTATTATTATTCTATAGTATTAGCATTCATTTGATAGATGTCTTCAGAATCATGTTCCTTCTTTTTGTGAAGGTAAAACCCATACCAAGAGTGTTTTTTAGACACAGTACACTTCTGTATTTGAGAATCTGGTGAATTAAGGGCCTACAGGATCTTATTGGTATTTAAATTCACCAAAAGATACATACCCATTTAGCCTGGCAAAGAGGGACAGTTTGAATCACCCTTTCATTAAAGAAACAACCAAGTAGTAATGTTCAGAATGTTGAAAATTCTGAAGAGTTTGTGTTGTTAAATGTAATCCTGATGAACAAAATGTTTGTAGTTGGTGTTGCAGTTAAAGGACCTCACCCATATCTCTAATAGTTAAAGTTTCCATGGCTGGAAAAAAAGGAATAAACTTGTACTAATGATAAACTTATGGTCACAATTATAAAAAATACTACCGCAAAGAATGGAAATCTGCGTGCAGCTTGCCTGAGAAATATCCTGGTTCTTATATGTAGATGTTTACCGTTTTCAACTCTTTTGAGAGTTGGAACTTAGGGTCAAGCACTACCTCTCATGTTTGATGTATTACAGGGTCAAATTAAACATTTATACATTTGATTATTATTTTTTAAAATTTATGGTTTTCACAGTTTACCAAAAGGATATTTGCAATATCTAAATGTTTATAAAATGTTGACCATTTTGTTCCTTTTTCAACACTCAGTGAAAGTGATACATCACATAGTTCCTGTTTCTCTCTCTTCTGTTAGTTTGGAAAACCAGAGGAGTATAATTTTTGGCCTGATATAATTTTCTCTTTAAGGAAAATTTTTAATCCTTCATCATTCAATATAGGTGAGTCATTTTAATGAACTACCATTTTTAAGAGGTATCAAACCCATAAATTAATTGCTTGCATCATTGGCATCAAATTTACCTTGACTAGTAAAATGGGAGCATTTCAATAAGACAGACCTTTTTTGGATTCAAACCAATACCAGTAGGTGATTAATCATAATGTGACAATAAGTCAAGAGACAGTAGACAGTGTTTTATGGTTTCAGTGAAACTCTTGTATCAAAAGTTGTGGGAAACTAAATTTCTTTGTAGCAATATTTTATCATCATAAATAGTCTAAAGGAAGGATTGTGTAAATTAAAGCTGTGGTCATTCAGATACATTTGATCAACTGTAATTATTATCTTTAAAATAATTTGCCTGGCAAATAACAGAACTCTGAGGCTTTGTTTCTGTAACAGAAGATCTGAATTTGGTTTGGGTTTTTCTCCTTTCTCTCTCAGACAAACAAGAACAGTACTTTTACAACCTGAAGAGAAATATATCCACGTTTGTAAAACCTTCTCCTGAGAAAATTATCAACTGGATCAAGTCAATGAAAGAGACAAAACAAACAGTCTTCCTTCTCACCAATTCAGATATAGATTATACAAATCTTCTTATGAATTATGCAGTAGGGTGAGTGAACCTAAATGCTTTGGAAATATTCTTTAATTTTTCATTTTTCTAAATATTTTCAATTAGCTCTGACAGATTTGAACACAAATGGTGTCTTAGATACCAGCTGTATGTGGCTAGGACTGAGCCAATTTTCAAAAAAATGTATCTAAGGAAACACTATAGCTCTCATTTGAAAAATCTCTTTTTTTTCTTTCTCCCAAATAATTACTTCTTAAAATAGGACTTTGCCAAGATGGATATCTAAGGGTATATACCTTACCTTTTGAATCTGTTGCCTTTTTGCAATCTTTCCCTCTGTGTTTTCTTTCTGTCAAACCCTATTTCAGGCTAGAGGGCCTATGGATATTATGGGTATAGTTGCTGAAAACCCATTACACTTTATATAAAAACTGTATTGTTTTATACTGTTTTGACACACCTTTTTAGGTAACAATTGTGCAATCTTATCAAGATGCCATGTTTGTTTACTTGGTGACATTTTTAAAGCTCACACTATATTCGTGTCCAAATCCCACACACTCAAAAACCATATGGAGCCTTCTTGATAACCACTTTATGGATTCAATCTCTCTGACATGTTTAGATCCAGATGGGGAGAACACAATCTTTAAGTGCATTTGTATGCTATAGTTAAATGTTTTTCTGTTCTGAGTTTCTTCTACTTTGTTCCTAACTAAAGTGATCACTAAAGGGACTTGATTCTTTCATTAGATAGTAATTTATTATTAATACCAACTGCTTCAAATCAGCAGTTCATTTTCACTTCAATTCCTGACACTAAAATACTCCCAGTGATGTACTCCACTTACAACCCTTTTTAACCATAAATAAGAAATTATTATTAACAAGTACAGTTCTTCTGATCTTACAAAAATATTCTTTTGCAGAAAACACTGGCCAGAGATGTTTGACATGGTTGTGTGTGCAGCAGGCAAACCAGGTTTGTTTTTGATAACATAAGCGTTGCTTATTTTATCTCCTGTAAATTTAGTTCTTTACCATATCTTACTTGATGGAGTGAAAGAGAAGTAGCTACCAATTTCTATCATTGTTCTGTTGCCTATACACTGTGATACATTTACACTGTACAATTAGTTATTAGTGTATGTTTATTATTTTATTTGTCAGTACTTAATATTTTTCTCTTCAACCTAAAAAAGGATTTTTCAAGTCAGAAGAGCCACTCATTAAGTTCCATGAACTTGGTAAGATGCATTAAATAATTATTATTTAATATATATTTGTAATATTGCTTTAAAATCAAAGTATTGGATTAATTACTTTTTATCAATAGAATTAAATTTTATCTCAACGAAATCAACCATTTTGTTCAGTTAGGTTGGAAATGGCAATTTTGAAAAAGGTTGGGCTCAAAGTTCTGTTTATTTTTTAAAGTTTATAGTGTTTATTCTACATGTAGTTACTGTATTACATGTTTCTTAATTCTTGATTGGTACCTTCAGATGGTGAAAAGGAAGTATGCCCTGTTCAAGAGCTTCAAGAAAACAAGATGTACAGTAAAGGAAATCACAAGGATTTAAACATATTTTTTCAAAAGCAGACAGACCAGGATACGCCAAAGGTAATTACTGTAACTGTAGTTGTAGGCTCAGCTTATAATATACTCATATCAAACTTAAAAATACAGCCAAAATAACATGCAATAGGTACATTACCTTTTTTGACCCTCTTAATTATACAACACATATAGGTCTTGTACTTTGGAGACAGCATCAGATCAGATCTGTATCCATCAGTAGTCTTTGGTGATTGGAATGTTGTTACCGTGCTGGAAGAGATGGAATCTGAAGGAATGGTTACATGTCAAGATCAGGTATTCTTTTTCATCCTGCTTCAGAATACAGAAAATAGTTGCTGATTGGAAGAGTTTTGAGTTTACACCAGTCGTGTCATGGCTTATTTGATAGATTTTAAATAAATATGCATTCTACTTGTAGCATTCTGCAGTGTATTTCAAAATCAGTCTGGTAACCTACATAATGTAGAAAACCCCATTTTGAGTCAGTGAATTTGACTGTCGTGAAAATTTCTCAGTAAACTGAAGAACTGTTGCGGCCTGCTCCTTTGTACTGATCCTTGCTGGAAAAGTCTATTTATTTCACTAGAGATAGGTTAGCTGATGTTGATATCAACTATATACAGCTTAGCTTAACTTAAAAGTCTGTTCAGTGAAAGAGGCAGTGAAGTTCCAAGTTCAACTGTTACAGTGATGAGCAGTTATGGTGTTGTTACTTTTTGTTATATTCTCAGTAGAAGCCAAGGCTTCCACCTTATATACTTCACACATTAAATACATGGATGCACAATTTTCAAAATAGTGATTTTGTTGTTGTTTTTACAATGTTTTCATCAGCAGGATTGTCTTGAGGATGGTCCAAAATCAAAGAAAGCAAGACTGTCTGTGCAAGTATGTTGAATTGTAAAAGCCACAATATTAAACATTTTGGCTGAAATTCAATTAAGTCCTGGACTATAGTGAGTGGCAGAAGTCTTGGTACATTCTACTATGTTTTGATTTTTTTAATAACTTTCTTTTATCTCCCCCTTTCTCTTATAACAATGTTTTCTAGATGAATTTCAAGATTTCTGTTTATTAGGTTGAGTGGGGGTTGCAGACCAACCTAGTTTTGGGAGGTATGCCAACTTTGCCACTCACTGTAGAAGTTCAAACAAGAACAGATTTAATTTACTTTACACCCAAATAATGTTGTGTTTGAGTCGATTGATACTAATGCATGACATTTTGGTGTTACAATGCCATATTTGTTGTCCCCTGCAGGACATTGAGATTGAAAGCTGCAAAGAAGAGGTTCTGTTGTCAAAGCAATGGGGTTCATTCTTTGTGCATGCTGATACTTGTCAAGATAAAATTATTGATTGTAAGTTAGATGGAGATCATGACCTTGTGAAAACATCTGGAAGGAAACAAATCAATACTTTCTGGGGAGATTTAATACAGAAATATAGCACTTTTGTAATTCCACGGCTAGATTTCATCACAGGTTAGTGTGAATTATGTTCCTTGTTTTCACATGATATGCAACATATGCATTCAGCCATATGTTGCAGACAATTTAAAACTATACACAGTTGTGGTTCCCACTAGAGGTAAAAAAAATGTACATAAATTGCAAATAAAAAACCTGTGAAATATAAATTTGGAATTTAACCCTTTAAATTCTAAACAGTTGTTACTTTTCCCATTTTAATGTCTGTACATTATCTGGCAAGCAGGTAATGAGGATACTCAAACTTAGTAGGCAGAAGTTGTTAGCTTGATCTAACACCAAATTCTTAAAGCTCGTTAACAGAAAAATGTGTAGCAGCTAGAGGGGAGAATTATCAATCATATCTTGGGAGTTAAAGGGTTAAGATAAGACGACAATGACAAAGCTCTGTTTAAATTTTCTTTGAGAAAATACCTTTCTCTTACCTGAAAAGGACAACTTTGTGGTGACTTATCACCAAAAGTTTTACTAAACCAAATACTGCTCTCTTGACAATTTTTCTTGTGTTTCCTTAGAACTATCTCCAGACCATGCATTTGAAGCCTTCAGTCTTTCAAAGGGAGGTTTCTATCCAGGAAGTCCTAAGTCTCTTCATTTAAATTAAAAACAACTTAATATGTTTCTTATAGTCATTTAATCACTGGTATGCAATCTATTTTATTAAGAATTGTGAGGTCAAATTTAGTTCTCTATCATGAAATATTACTTTAAATTTTCTGTTACTCGTGCCATTGCAAAAGTTGTCTGTAGGAATTTACCAGAAATGCCTAGTTTCCTGTCAGTTTTAGCTAATGTAACTTTATTTAACTATAAAAGACAGCAATAAAATGTTTTGTTGTATATAGTTACATTTTTAAAAAATCATTTTTGCTATTCATCATTACCAATCACTAAAAAATTTTAATAGTGTTGTCTCAGAATTTTGTAATGTGTGGGTGGCCTTTACTGAATGATAATGATGAATGAGTGTAAGAACAGCACCTGTAATGTTTTAACGATACTCCTTGTATGGAGTGGTCCTCAGTTTTTAATAGTTCGCTGTTCCTGTGATGGTGTACAAATTAAGGATCTCATATTGCCATGCATCTTTTCAGTAAAAGATCACAGAAGACAAAATGTGGTGAAAACAAAAAAGGTTGTACATGAGGAGCAGCATGCTCTTACCAAATATTTGTGTCTTTTGTCATCAGTTACAGTACTATTTGTTTTATAGGATGAAAAAAAAAAATGGAATGTTGTTAATGGTGACATCATCTGTGGGTCTGTCTTCCAATAAAAGCAGGAAGCAATTAAAATGCGTGTATAATTCAGCTTATCATATAATGTGCTGTCAATCATTCAGTCATTTGAAAATGCTATCAACCTGTACTTTTCCAATCTACCCAATTAAAAAGCATCATTGGGGTCCATTCTTCTTTTTTTGGCAGTGGGTCTAACCGTAAAGAGTAACAATGCCTTTCCTTTCCTTTCAGTGTAGTTTGAGGTCAAGGCTGGGATCAACACCATTAAAATTTTGCATTTGGGAACATAGGGTCTGAAATTTTCCATTTAGACACCGTCTGTACAAATCAAAGGCCAGAAGCTGGAGTGCACTGTGACAAAAAACTGTTTATTTTATGGATGGGGAAAAAAGGCAAATTTGAAATGAACCTCTCAATAAATGACCTATTGATTGCACTTATTATTATAAAATGTTGAAGGAACTTTTGGTGCATGTACAACACCCAACACTCTCCCTCTGACATACTATGACACTATGACTAGAATTATGTTTCATATCAATATTTAATGCAGTAACAAAATTGTCCCAGTTATCAAATAGTGCACCTTAAATAATTGAATTAGATTTCTAAAAGTATAATGCTTGCGTCAGGAGTATTAAGAACAGATATAATTACAACATTTTTGTTTTGGATCCTTCTGTACATATAAAAGGACATCATATCTTATTACTTTACCATACAACTGTACTTCATTTAAATAGCAAAATTAATACACCAATTTTGAGTATGTAAAACCACAGTGAGTGATCACTGACTGAAAATGCCCTTGGCAAGTTGAAAATTACTAAATAAATTGAAGCCCTTTGAGGGAAATTCTAAAACCTTATTTTTCAAGTATCATTAGGTTATATCCAAGTCTTCCAATCCTACTTTTTTTTATCAACCAGACTATTACTAAAAAATCCTTTTCAGGAATTAAATAAAATTGTAATTTATCTTTTGTACTTTTATTATCACTATCCCTTGTATTATGCTTTTGTTTACTTAAAATTTACATAAAATAATGAATGATGAATTTTCATTATAAAAACTATGATGGATTTAAGTGGTGATTTGGCAATCTTTGTCACCTTTCATTCTTGTTTTAAGTTCAAGCAAAGCACCAACAGCACCAAAATAACCCTACAAACAACAATTTAAAATAAATTACTACGAACAATTGTACATCATATTTTTTTATTTAATAGTCTTTTTAATCTCATATTCATTGGTGCATTCTTCCATGACTGATTTGATTAGAGCCTAAAGCACTTATGAACATTTGGTACCTCAAGGAAGGGAACTTATTACAAACAGTGCACTCATTTCTGGTTTGAGAAACAGTAGAATGGGAAGAACAAAGCTTTCGTGTTTATTTGAATACAAACAAATATACACAATAATTATTCAGATAATAGTGGTTGAGAAAGTGCTATCACTGAAACAGAATAGGGGGCACTTCTTGGACTGCCCATTGGAATGAGGATGTTTAGGGGTGCTTATTACAAAAACAAACTTGAGGTGGGAAGGGGGCACTTACCAGTGACCAGGTGTTTATTGGAACAAATGAAGGGTGCTTAATGGAATCATTACCATAAAAGCATATCCTTTAAAAGACTTCATTTAATGATTACTATTTTTCTTTTCTGATCTGTAATTTATCTTTAATCTACAGCTCATTCACAGGTTCTTAAAATTCTAATTCTTCCCTGTAAATTGCATTAACAAATAGATCCCATGTTGCCATGCCTCTGATCAGTAATAGATCATAGTTGACATCAAAATGTAGAAAGAACAAAAAAATTGGCACACAAGGTGCAGCTGACTGTGTCACTGACATTGCCACCATCTGTCATCTACTACTGTCCAGAACCACAGCAACATAGAATATTTTTGTTTTCTATGATGATGTCATCTAAGCATCTGACCTCCAATAGATCATACATAAGAACCAATTAAAGTTCTGCTATTCAGTTTATTATATAAACTGTAGTCATCATGATACAAATTATAGAGTCATTATTCCATAACTTTATTCCACTTGCGTCTATGGTATTACTGTTTGTTTGTTTTTTTGGTTATTTTTTGGTTTGGTTAGTTGTGTAAAGTAAATTCAAGTCAAGATTCAAAAGCAACATAGAAAGGCCTACCTCATGCGTCAGAAATAGAGCTTTCATTGTTCCTTTGGACCAATAATCCATTGCATAAGCAAGCAGCTTCATGGCTATTGTGTTACAGCGAAGGAAGTTGCCCACAAATACCACACATTCTACCTTCTGAAAATGTTACAAACAAAATTTAATATCCTCATGACTAGTAAAACACCCCAGAGGTTGTTTGGCCTATATGTAGCTGTACCCTCCCCTCCCTTCTGTTTCTCCTTAGGTTAGAGGTTGTTCACCACCTCCTCTTTGTCTCTAGGTCCGATACTACATTAAACTGCCACAGTTGGTCTATGAAACACACACAACAACACTGTTTCACTTAACAGCACTCACATGATTGACAGCACACATTCTTGCAATTGAACCAATGTTGTTAGTTATGGTGATAAGCATGGCTCTTGCTAAATCATTTTTGCTCACTGCAGATCTGTTCTGTTCACAGCACATCTTCCCAAAACTTAATAAAACAGAATTTCACATTAAAATAAAATGACACATAATGATTATTAATTTGTAGGACTTATTACTAGGTGAATAAATATTTAAAATACTAATAAAACACAAAATTGTGTATTAACCCTTTAACTCCCAAGATCTGATCATGAATTCTCCTTTAAAGATGCTTTATGCTTCCTTGTTAACTGGTTATGAGAATTTGGGTTTAGATCAAGATAACAACATTTACCTGATAAGTTTGAGTATTCTCATCACCTGTTTGCTAGAAATTGTAGGAATATTGTAGGGAGAAGTTACATGTTAATCACTTTTGGGAGTTCAAGGGTTAACTGGCATCTTATGTAGGAGATCACTGTTATTGCTTTGTGGAATATGGAAGCCTGAATTAATTTGAGAATTTGTAGCAAGTAAAATTTCACAAATTCTCACTCACTTATTCTTGTTCATAAGAGATATACCTGCTTGCAACTGTATCTCCTTGTAAACCAAACTTAGAATAGTCCCCACCATAGATATCTCGCACCAGTTTATCAACTTTTGTGCTGTCACCCTCTTCAGCCATGGAAAGAGCTTCATCAAATGACAAGCAGCCAGTTAACAAGCAACAAAGGCCTAGAAATGTTCCACCTCCAAGACTAAAGGAAGACAATTTTGTTCAAAAGAGGTTAGCCTTTGATCTACAAAAAAAATTCTATCTTTCATCACCAATTACACAACTAACATGCTTCTGACCTTAATTCTCTAATATCAATGTGTCCTTTGACCCTTTAACTCCCAAGATCTGACTGTTAATTCTCTCCTCTAGCTGTTACACATTTCCCTAAATTAGTTACAAAAATTTGGTATTACATCAAGATAAGTCTGATCTGATAAGTTTGAATATTCTTTTTTTTTTAAATTAAAAAAAAAAAAAGTTTGAATATTCTTATTACTTTTTTGCTTGATAATGCATGGATTTTATGGGGAGAAGTTACTTTGTAAAATGGGTTTTTGTCATTGTGGTAAATAACACTTTCAAAAGAGAAATATAATCATTTGTCTCACGATGTGGTCACATTGGATGTGGATCCCAGCATTTCAACAGTATATTGCTACTCTTATTCAGGCAATGAAGACCAGGATCTTTCAAAAAAGAGATGTAATTGTTTGTCTCACAATGTGGTCACTTTGGATGTGGATCACAGTTTTGACTGCATACTGCTAGACTTCTTAAGGCACCTAAAGAAGACTAGCAGTATGCAGTCAAAACATCATGATCCACATCCAAAGTGACTGCATCATGAGACAAATGATTACATTTCTCTTTTGAAAGAGAAGTTACATGTTAAACATGTTTTGATCACTTCTGGGAGTTTGAGGGTGAATTAGTGCTGCTGCCACTGGAAGTTTGAAACCCAGGGTTCTCAATAAGAGATGGCCATCAGCTGGAAAACCAGCTACCAGATTTCTGAGCTGCCTACTTTTGATGAAGCAATGTGTGTGGTTGTGAACAGTAAACTGTAATTATAAAAACTAAAACAAGTCACTGCTACAATAAATTTCACGAACAAATAATTTTCTTAAAGCCATTCTTGTACTGAACAAAAACATATTATTTGCTTTTACATTCTCTCACTGACTAAGCACTCTTCCAATCTCTTCCTTCAGCATGCTTACCTAGCCAACCAACTGCCATATTTCCTGGCATATACCTCAAAAATAAAGTGAGACCTCTGTTAAGTGGACACCCTTGGGACCTTCCCAAGTGTCCACTTAATAAAGGGTGTCCACTTAATAGAGGTTTTTAAAAATTGTGCAATATTTGTTAACGATTAACAATTTATGTTTTATTTTGTACTGTGATAAAGTTCCATGTTGTTAACAAAGTTATGCAGAGTTCAAGTTCATTACCTTAATTTGTTGGTAATAATGCAAAAACATAACAGCAAAACAGCCATGATAATACACGAGGTACATTCACTCTTTCTTTTGGATGGATTACATTTAATTGACTATTTCAAGGATGTAATCTTACACACTACATTGTCAATTCAGTCAGGTGTCTGCTTAACAGAGGTTTTTAACAATAAAAATTAGCCAAATACAATTTATTTTAGTGCCCACTTCTGCTTAATAGAGGTGTCTGCTGAATTTTAGTTCATTACAAGGGAAATATAAGATGTTAACTTTGGGATCTGGCTTAGCAGAGGTCACTTAATTAAGGTTTCACTGCAATACATAAAATAGCGCTTCAGAGCCTCTACATTTAAAAAATAATGTTTTGTATGAGAGCATGCCAAGACCCTAGGAAGGAGCTGTTGACTTGTCGGCTGTTTACTTCATTTAGTTAGCCATCAACTCTCTAACTTATTGAGAACCCTGGAGACCACAATCTTGACAACAATCTGTTGTTATGATGGTGCATTTAGTAAAAGCAAATTATAATAAATAATGCAAAGATGGGTACTGCAAAATTATCAATTTGGCAGACCTATGACTGTCACAGAGTAATAGCAAGTAATTGAAAGTTTTACCTGGTACCACTTATCCTTGAAAACTTTTCTGCAGATTCCACAAACAAAATGCTGACTCCAGAACCAATGTTTACCACAATATAAGGATAAGGATTCAAGTCAAAGTTATACGGTACTTTTTCTGACTTCTCTAAACAGTGCAGGTTGTTCCAGTAGTAACATTCATTTATGCAGGAAGAGTTGATGAAGTGTATGCCATGAATGAGACATTCAAGTTCATCATACTTCACAAGTTGTACACCTAGGATCTGCAAGGTTTAGATGTTCAGAGATTTAAGGCTGGCTTGGAAAATTAAAACAGCATTGATTGATGAGAACAGAGAGCTTAATTAGTGAGATGTTGCTTCTGGAAAAAATTGGAGAAAAAAAAAACAGTTTCTCTTCAGGAAAGGTGTTTTTCACACTAATCAGACTTCAGGATTCATTTCCAAGCCCTCTTGAAAAACAATAAAAAGTAATATCTAGCTGAAAACAAAGACATACCTCTTTAAAATCCTTTTCAAATTTGAATGCTCCTCCACCAGTGGCACACACCTTGTCATTAAGGACTGATGCATTTAATTCTTCAGCAAGTAAAAGAAATTTTCCCACCACATCAGTTGAAAATCTAATAAAATGTAAATGTCCTTTTCTTCCTCCCAAAACCACATTTTCCATTGCCAACCTTTCATCTCTAGCTCCTGTTTCTCCATAATTAACATTTGACTTGATAAAATCTTGTATTGCCTCCAAGCCAACTTTGTCTTGTCCATTACGGTTTATTTGTAAATTGCATGGCTCAAAGTACACTAATTTGACCAAGCTTCCTCCAATGTCCAAGCCAAAGCAGGGAAGTCGAGCTAGGAAAACAACAATAATCATAAAATAAATGATACTGAAATACACCTGTAGTGGGGCGGGGTGAAAAGGCAAGAAAAAATACTTACAGATTTTCTTCATAATGAGACCTTCAAAAGACTTACAATGAATAAAAGAAATACAGTATCTTACAGCTGTGTTGATGAAATTAAGAAGCCACAGAATTTTTTGTGGACATTAATGTTGCAATTAATGCACTACATTAAGCTTATGGCAGTGTTTTTGCTCATGCAGTGTTCTCCTTTTCAGGCAGTAACTGGTAACATTTAGCGCCTGTAGTACCTCTTATTACCATTTAAAATTGCTTGGAATTCTTGAAAATTCAACTGGTAAAGAGATCGCTTTACCAGTTTGAAAATCTATTTTACCTGTCATGCGTGAAATAAGGGAGAACACTGCTCATGGTGTTAAGAGCATTTGAAAAAACAAAATGTGTTGTAATTTTAGTCATGACTAACAGGACTCACCTGGAATCCATTAAATATTAATTGTTTTTCCTCATGAATTCAAATTTACTTATCTCCTTAAAAAACAAGTTTACTCCTTCTTGAGTGAGGAAAAGACAAATTGTGGAAAACATTTCTGTTTATGTTTTTGGAACTTGATTTCCAGTATAAGAGGTTCTGATCCCATAAGTTAGAGGTTGTTAATTTCTCCCATAACATCCAATGCTTTATAAAAAGGCAGCCAGTCTTGCTCAACTTTTACAACAAAACAAAGAATGATAAATGACTGACTAAATTAATAAACAACTTTAGTTAATAAAATTTTCATTAAGTTTGCATCAATAGACTTCTTAGTTTGTATGTTTTGTTTACTCATTTCACCCTAAGTGATAATAATATAGAAAAGTGTCCTTTATATTCCTTCTTGTTCACATCCAAATGTATGCATAATTTTTAAAAGATAAAGCTGGAAATTCCCTTGAGACCTGAAATGGGTAAACAAAACAGACAAGCCACAGAGGTCTATGCAGATTACTAAGTTCAACATAAAATTGGTACATTTTAAATTACCTTACCCGCCCAGAGCCTGAAACACACACAGGACATGTTTACTTGACATTCTACCTCAATACACACACAAATACATACATGCACATACACAATAAAAACAAAGAGAGGAAATAGGGCGGGACTAGCCATGGGTGATACTACATTCAGTGAACGATTATGCAATTTTGATCTTTGCAACTGAAGCGTAAATATTTTAAATCTTAAATAAGTTTATATAAGAGATTTGTAAGATTATAATTCAAGTTACGTATCATTTCTTCTAAAGATATGTTTTGTTTGAGACTAACCTTTATTCATTTCAGTTCTCAGTTACTTCCCTCTGTCCAAACTTGTCTATTTACGCCAGACACGTCACGCTCCTCAGATACATCGTGTCATGTTTCTACGTCATGAGATTTGCGCTTGACTAATGATCCATTATATCCCGTAAAATAACGTGCTAACTTGCCGCCATTCCAAAGGCCGTAAGTCCACTACTGACCACTTTTATATCTCAAACAGTTTTTCAAGGTTCCATAAGTCACACAACTGTACAAATTACCGGCGATCTCCCAGGGTGATCTCCCAAGCGTGCACTATATCCGTCAACGTGTCCTTGGAGATCCTGAAGGACTGGGGCGAGCGTACGAAGGGTTTGAATGGTCCGCGGCATTACTTAGCCGGACTATCCCTATTTGTGTACGAATATACAAAATATCTCAGAGTCAAGGGATTTACCCATAATTCCTGCGTTAGCTATCAAGCCACATGCAAACAAAATGTCGACGTTTTCTCACTACAACGAGAGAGGGGTCATTCGAGATATTCAATCTCTCGCGGAAATCATTCATCTCGACCACTCGTATGCCAAGCCATGGTCAGCACATCCCGATGCATCAAAAGTACGTCCAGTCAAAACTTTGTTTCTGCCCAGAGAAGATCTAGAGAACTTGCCTTTAGCAGACGATGAGGAAATCGATGTATGCGAACCGGCTGTTCCATGTTATTCTGCCAACATCATGTATGATACTGCAAAAGCTAAGACAGTTATGGCTGAATGTGAAAAGTTTGTGAGCACTGTGTCTAGTAAGAAGACTCCAGACACATGGGAAGAGCAAATTTCCAGGTAAGGTTGTGTTGTAATATTTGTTATTGCTATAAAATGCAGAAAAGTGTCATCACGGGCGGACGACACCAGTTGACAGATTTGTGACAACTCTGATATGATCCGATGTACTGTATCGTACCTTTTATTGGGTTTGTCAACTGTCAGTGTCAATGAGGCTGTTTTTCGTTTTTGGAGAATCAAGCAACATCGCTTCGTATAGGCTACCAAGGTAAAAGAGGCAGGAGAGAAAGCTCACTTTGACTCAAGTCCATAAATACTTAGTTGTAGAACGAATTGCGGCCGTTCTGCCCTAAGTCGATCCGCATGAGAATGGAAGTCGATCCACCCGACGAACAAACAGTGCATCAAATTACAGAGATTAAGCGTTATTCCATTTTTTATTTCTTTTAGTAATGTTTATAGATATTTGTTGACCGTGTTATCAAAACAACAGCTCATTCAACCGCTGGGATATTTAACTTCTTTGGAACTTCTGTGATCAAAAGTGAAATCATTTTTTTTTTTTTTTGTAATAGACACATCGAGGCCAAATATTTGAGATAAAAAGTCGGTTGTGATGTCAGTATACAACTCAGAAAAAAACATCACACCATCCATGTTGTATTTTATTACAAAAACTCATAAAACACTAGTTTTATTTTATGATACCATTTTAAAGAACTCTACACAACTCATAGATAAGATGACATATACATCGGGCACAGTTACTTCGAAATTTGGGCAGAAAGGTCTCGGGTGGTTTGACTCTTGGGCAGAACGACTGGATACCTATAAAACAGATGCAGCTAACTACGCGACCGCCGGACACAAGTCACAAAATTGGCGCTTTTCGCTAAAAATCACTATGGCTATCAAAATGGACGCAGCCTGAAGCGCTGTAACACCAATACAAAATTTCTGTGTCAAGTATTCCTTGTACTGCTGGAAACAAGCTCATTTAAAATTAAGTGCATGACTGGAAATATACTGGGGTTGAATTTTTATTTCTGTTTTATTTTCAAGATGCATATTTCAAGAATCAAAAGAGATGTTAACATTGAACCACAACACAGTCAAACATAGTAAATTTTTCTTTTTTTTCAGAAATGGCTGGGGTGCTAAGCAGAGTGTCTTGTTTGACAAAATTACAAAAGTCCTGTCAAACCTGAGACTAGCAAGATTGACCTACGAAGGAGTAAGACTTGTTTATATTATTACCTTATAGAGTACATTTACTGTAGTCAGGCTCTTGTAGCTACTGTAGTGTGAGTGGTGAGGCTGCCCTTTCATTAAACTTACAATGTCCATGAAACTTTAAAAAGACTCATGACAGACCTGATATAGGTCTCTGTAATAGGTCTATATAAGGCTAAAATTAGGAAGGATCTGACATCACTTGCTCATGCCCATTATGCCATGTAGCACGTAGAGTGACAGGGATCTGACATCTTACCTGGAAAACATCCAAACAAATTGGATTGTAGAGAAATGTGGAATTCTTTTAGTTGAAAGGGTCAGAATTCATTTACTTGCTAATGTAATGTCTGCTTTACAGCTTCCCAATGAGCCTGTAATGAGACGTATAACAACAGACAAGGCAACCAAGAGAACAAGACAAATCTTGAGTGAAACAGAATGGGTGAGTTTGGTTTGCTTTCCATTGGTCTCAAACTGTGTCCGTTTCATATGTAATGGCCTAATATAGTAAACCTGAGTGTTGAGAGAATTTACAACTTCTTGCTTGCCAGCAGATCACTGGACTAAATGTTTCTTTTTGACAACTAAGGAATAGAACCTTTCCCCCATGACAAAGTTGCATACATGTGATGTTTCAGTCACAAGTCATACGGCAGGCTGTTGGGTGACAAAAAGGAGGGACAAAAGTCATTAAAAATGATTCTAATAATTGCTTTTATTCTGGTCACAATATTGTACTCATACTTTATTCCATAGGATCCAAATTTAATGAAATGGCTGCACAGTACCTTAGTGGATGGTTTGAGTATTCCTCTGTTGGCTTGCTACCTTGATGTACTTCAGACTCTCAGAGCCAAAGTGAGTCTCATTTCTTATACATTCAATTTCACTGTTTTATTCTCATGAGTGACCAAGACAGAATTTCTCCTTAAAATATTAGTAAAAAATCAAGCAGACAAGTCATGAGAGTAAAGAAAACATTTGAACTGGGAAATTTACCAAGTTCTCTGAACTAACATCCTAAGAATTGGTTGGTAGACATTGGCTTGGGAGAATTAATATTGAGATCTTGGGAGTGACAGGGTTAAAGGTTTAAAATATAGACCATGAAAAGCACTTACAGTGCAAAGTTTAAAAATTACCTGGTAAAATTGTGCTGAATGCCTAAGTCAGTGGCAAGCAATCAGGGCAAGCTGTGTAGTCTAGTTATGGGTGACTTGTTTGTGACTTCTGGTGCATAAAGCATTCTATCCACGATTAGTGTTTCTGGTTTCAGGTTGAGTTGCTCATTAAGAATTGTGGTAATATATCTGAAACAAGAGAAACACAAATCAAACCAGTTTAAAATCAGTTAAATTCAGTGGTCAGTCTGATTGTTAAAACGCTTAAACAAAGTACCGTAAATGTCCATGTATAAGCCGCATCCGTAGATAAGCCGCACCCCCGATTTGGAAGCGCAGAATTTGGAAAAAATAAAACAATATAGTTTGAAGTTTCAATAGAGTTGTATTGCTACAAACAATCAAGGTTTCAAAACACCGACATAGAAGTTGTGGCTATCTTTCACATTTATCAAGTCTAAAGAAAGCGAAATTTTATTTGTCGTACCTTCTTTTTCATTGGAATTTACACAATCTTTAACTTAAAATGCTCTCTCGGTCCGATTTTTCAAGATTATCACTTTGAAACACACCATAAAGTTGAAATTCCTTTGCATTGAAAAAACAAACAAACAAACAAGTGCTTAGTAGCCAAGCTTTAAATGTTGGGAGGAGTCTGGGCCTTTCGACTCAGCTGTTCGGGTATACCACGTGTATAAAGATGTTTGGAAACCCGCAATAGGCGAAAAACTTCATGCAGAACAAGAGCCTGATAATGCAGTTGACAAATTTGCCATGAAGGTAATAAAAAACAAGGAGAGATTCCTTGTATGTTGGTGTTTAGTTGTTCGAGTAAACGAAAGTTAATCACTTGAAAGAACTCTTGGAGAGCAAGATTCGCTGATAAACACTCAAAGACACAAACGGCTCCTTTACGAGCCACCACTCAATGAAAAAGTCAATGAACTACAGCAACATGTTCTCAGTTTCTTTTATGTTTGTTTCTTGGCATCTTAAGAAGTTTTATGAATATTAATTAGGTTTTTGAGAATTCCAAACACAGATGTATCTATGGATAAGCTGCACCCTTGATTTTTGGCTTCAATTTTGTGAAAAAAAGTGCGGCTTATACATGGACCTTTATGATAATATATTTTAAAGGATTACAAAATATTATGTAACCTAACCTGAAATGACAATGAATTAATGTTTCAGAGCTTTTGAAATTATTTCATGTTTATAAAATGTTTAATTACATTGTAAATACATTGTATTCCCTGAAGGTTCCAACACTTGTCGATCGAATGCTTGTTCAACCTTCCAGTCAGCGCCGTGGCTTGGCAGCCAGCCCAGATGCTTTAAACTTGCTTCTGAAAAGACCTTGGGACCCTGCCCATGGACTTGTTACTCAACATAAGCAGGTATCACTGCTCTTTTGATGGCAATTTAAAATCAGAACATATTCATTAAGAGAAAATTAAACAGATGCTTGTGGGTTGAGAGCCTAAAAATTAGAAATAAAATTGCCTTGTTGCGCTAGTGACTCTTGGAAAAAAAGGAAAATTCTAAAATTTTAGTTGTCAGTTTAAACACATTTTGATAGGTTTTTGCTTATGATCTATTGGAGGACAGATGCAAAGATGTTGTTTGTATTTTTACTATATAAAGATCATTTTAAGTACATTTGTGGAGAAAATATCTTTTAACATGAGAGAATAACATTGCATATTCATAATGTGCAAATTTCATTTTGAGAAACTTTGTTTCCTGAGTCACAGTGTATTTTTATCCCTCTCTTCAAAGCGTAAACTACCTGGAACTCCTTTACTCTTGGTTGTGCCCAGTGGCCCAACAACAAGCATCTGTTCTGGAACTTCATCCAAGCGGGCTCGCTTCTGGCACAACCACTTGTCTGTCCTTGGAAAAGTTGTTCCTGTTACCATGCACACAAGCAATGGGGGAAGTGGGGTGTCAATCAGCCAGTGTTTGGATCACATTATCGGTGCTGTTAGAATGAAAGTTTTGGAGGTATGAAAAATCTTTAATTGGATGGTATGCATTGGTTGGTTTTTCATTGCTGATGGTGTTGGTTGGAATGTGAAGATCCAATAGCTATTAAAGTGACCCACGCTTCTAGAGATCTATCAGAACCAATGTTTTCTTGAACTGTTTGAAGGGTCTGATGAGACTCCTTACAAACCCTCTTGCTCGTGC